TTCTGTTATGATTCTCTTCGTCCCTTTTAATTTTAAACCAGTTCGTTCGCTCAAGTAGCGGTAACATTTCATCTATTCTTCGTGCTTCAAAGTTGCATTCATTATCTGGTCATCTAGTTTCACCACTGCAGAAATCTTACATTTGTTTATAGAGATTCGATGTTGTGTAAGTCATAGGTTTAACCGTGCAGATTTGTCAAATTAAGTATATCACCTATGTATTTCGTAGGTGACGGTCACGCTTCGTTATTCACCTATGCCCTTAATATACGCTGTATAGTGTTAAGTTAAATTGGATTTCGTCTCCTCGTGTGGTATCACTTGCTAACAAGTGAAAGAGAAATTGTCAGCGCATGACTCGTCTCCGTTTAATTATGTGTTGAAGTTTCATGTGAGTTGGGGTCGTCATTCCTTCTCTTCAATTCGGAAAGCCAATTCACATTATAATTACTATACACTCCGTTTCCCTCGAGATTCATAAATCAACTAAGTTCTGTCGAACTCTTCCGTTTGATCGTTCGCGTCTGGTCACGTGATTTGTCACATGTATGATAATCTTTTTTACCTTTGTCTTCCATTTGTTGTCGTGGTCGTCAGTCTGACCTGATTGTCCTTTACATTCAGCGACTGCTATTACATATCAAAAGAGAGAGAAGGGAAGTCATATATTATATTTTTAGAGATGGGAAAGAGAGATGAGTCGTTAAATGTAAAATTTTGTGTGGATATGAGTGGTGAGTTGCAAAGCCGTAATAGTGCTCTAGAAATTTGAGCTGTCTGTATCTGATGTTAAGTATAAGTTTCCATTTTGTTTCCATTTACTCTACAGCTTCGTCGTAGATCCCATTCATTTATTGTCAGCATCCTTCTGTAGAACCACATTTCTGTTACTTGAAGTCTCTTCTTCATCTGTGAAGGGATTGTCCATTATTCACAGCCAAATAGGAGAACTGGTATTACGTAACAGTTCAGTACTATTTTCTTTGTTTATAACGAAGTTTTCTTCCTGTTTCTTTATACATTGCTTCGCTAATGGAAGGCATATTGACAGTTGCTTTCCTATCAATGAGTTGTGACCAATTATTCCTTTGGCGGCCGTTTCAGTGAAGATTTTTCACGGACTTTGACGTCATTTTGGTGTTTTTTTTGTTGTTGTCCAAATCCATGAATTTATTTAGTCTAAAAAAAAAAAATTCTCGATTTTTTATTCATGATGTCCAACCCTTTAAAATTATTCAACTTTTTAACAAGAAAAATCTCAAGTTGACGTTAAAAATCGCCGTAAAACATTGTTGATTTATTTAAGATGGAATGATCTATTATGACATGTCTCTAATTTTTATGGAATGATCTATTATGACATGTCTCTAATTTATATTTAGCTATATTTATTTTCAATTTTTCTAGTTGAATTGTTCACCTATATTGCATATGACCTATTATTGTACATAATAATTAGGTTATAATAATTATTTGCATGAATACAAACTTATGAAAATTTTGACGTGGCGGTTAAGAATAAATTGTATCTATTAGGTTTAGTCATATGCAATTTCCGTTTTATCGATCAAATTGTAATGACGAATGTTTCATAACTACTAAACAGACGTAGCAGTGAAGAATAAATTGTATCTTTTTATCTTGAGTCATAAGTAATTTCCTTCTTGGAAATGTAATGACTAAAGTAATATACTAACTGCTCATCAGCCGTGGCAGTTAAGAATAAATTGTATCTATGAGATTGAGCTATAAGTAATTTCCGTTTTGTAAAAACAATTGTAATGACGAATGTATCATCCTAAGTAACAAGTGGGCGTTGCAGTTAAGAATACATTGTATCTATTACCTTGTGTCATAAGTAATTTCCTTTTTGTATAACCAATTATAAGTGACTGAAGCCGAGGCACTAGATCAAGACCAATAATATTGCTGATTCTTCTTTGGATTTTATCAAGGATCTGTAAATAGATAGCAGGGACACCAAGATGTGGCGGCAATATTCTAAGCATGGCGGAATGGTAGACATAGATTGGAACAGTTAATTTCATTTTGGATCTACTAACCTTTTGAAAATGGTTAGACTCGCATTTTAAAATTAGTAAGACAAGTATTTTAGAATTTCTTTCGATGAGAACAGGGCTTATGGGAGGCGCGTACAAGGTGTACATAGTACCTGAGTCCTGGAGCCAACGTGAAGCCAATGGTAACATGGGTTTCTGGAATTTCTTGTGATTTCAGAAAATATTTGGATACAACAGAGGAATTGCTGTCATATTTTGTGTGAATGTGACAAGTCATGGCACAAAAAAAAAAGAAAAGAAAAGAAAAAAAGCTTTGTGGATAAAAATTGGGAAAAAGAATAGCGAAAAGAGGGGCTACTGAAAGAAACTTGGTGACCTTTGATAACATTCCTCTTACAGTCTCTTGTTGGTTTGATTCGGCTCGACCCTTTCAAAGGCATCCCACAATTAATTGCAAATAACAAACTAATAAAATTCCGCTTGAAAATTAGATATTGTCACAATAAAATTGAACCTGATTGAATTTAATATGGCGAAAAGTGACATGTCGTGGAGTTCTTGTGGATTTACTTTACTTGAACCACAAAGCAGTAAGCGTTATATTTAAGCAATGTTTACATTGGTTATATACTCGACATGAATTTTGATTGATCGCCGGATTATTGAGGGTGTCAGGTCAAAGAATCTACAGGTCGCCTTACTTTTTGTAAATTTCTCTAAGTCTTTGATTCTGTATATAGGGGGAAAACAGAGAAGATCCTTCTGGCATATGGCAATTCCACTGAGACAGTAGCTGCCATAATGATGCTACACAAAAATATCAAATCTTTGTGAGGGGATTGTCTATTATTCACAGCCATATAGGAGGACTGGTATTATGTAACATTTCAGTACTCTTTTCTTTGTTTATAACGAAGTTTCCTTCCTGTTTCTTTATACATTGCTTCGCTAATGGAAGGCGTATTGACAGTTGCTTTCCTATCAATGAGTTGTGAGCTGTTATTTCTTTGACAGCCGTTTCAGTGAAGATTTTTCACAGACTTTGACGTCATTTTGGTGTTTTTTTTTTGTCCAAATCCATGAATTTATTTAGGACATATTTAGTCCGAAAAAAAAATTCTCGATTTTTTATTCATGACGTTGGACCCTTTAAAATTATTTAACTTTTTAACAAGAAAATCTCAAGTTAACGTTAAAAATTGCCGTTATTTTGAACCACAAGGCAGAAAGCGTTATATTTAAGTAATTTTTACATTTCTATACGAAAACACTTTTTCGACATCAAGACAGAAGTCCTTCAGAGGAACACCCTTGCATCATTTCATTTTGTTATTAACCTTGACGACATATTGAGGACTTCCCTCGACAAACATCCCCATCTAGGTGTTAGTTTATCACCAAGACTCTCAAGTCGATATCCTTCGAAAAATTTAAAAGATATTGTCTATGTGGATGACCTAGCTGTCACTGCAGGCATCATTACCAATGCAATAATTCTCCTACATCATCTAGAAAATAGCTCCAACCATATTGGACTATATAAATGCCTCAAAAACGGAACTCAGAAGCTTTAGCCAGCAAAGCTCAATACAAACTGTTTCAGGTGAATCAATACAATCTGTGGAATCTTTTACATACCTGGTGTAGTAACCGGGAACTAAGGAAACGGAAGCACCGTTTCAGCCATTATTCAGACACGGAAGTACCTTGTCGGCCATATTGTGTATGTGTGAATAAAAAACAGGAGTATAGCTTCTGCGGACAGAATTCACCAGACTAAACTGCAAATACAACCTCCTTTACCAAGTTGTGACACCGAGGAAGCGGAAGAAATTCTACTGAAAAGGATAGGAAAAATTGCAGAGCGAAACCCTGTGCTACTCTGAATAAAATGGATGTAATCTGGAAATCTGATCTACCAGACGACCTCTAACAGGGATTCTTTCGAGCCAATGTAGAGGCGGTGTTAATATATGGTGTCACTGCTTGGACATTCACTAAATCCCTAGAGTCTAAGCCTGATGGAACATATGCTCGGATGCCGAGAGCTATATTTATCTACATTTAACATCTCTTGGAGACAACATCCAACTAAGCCATGGCTCTATGGGCCTGTTGTAACCTAGGGAAGGTTACTGAATAGAATAATCACACGAAGGTTGGTAATGAACGATAATACGCAGGACAAGAACAACACAGATTCGCCAGCGGCGCGTAGAAGTAGTAGCAAACTGCTAGAAGTGAGTCAAGTGAATTCCACAATGAATCTCCAGCTGCAGGATATCTACCAACCGTCCCACTCGGTCAGGTGTGGCACAAGGCTGAATTTAATGTGGGGTATCCGAGTCCATAGGCTCGGCCAAAAATTCCCCGTAGACCCCGTATAAAACGAGGTCAGGCAGCTGTTTCCCGAGACGAGACTCTGCCCTTCGACATAGTCTCGTCTAGGGATCCTGTCTCCCCGGAGACAGAGAGTTTGACCAGCACAGCTGGAGACAAATCCCAAACTGCAGACCAACATACAGTATTTACTACTGTATTTATGTGAATGGGGACATACCCATTATCGTCCGTCGGTATGCTACAACAAGACTTATCACTGATATGTCCACAATATAACGGGAAAGCAGAATGTTCTTTACAGGACACTGCTGGCTAGCAAAACAAGAACTCGTGAGTGATCTACTGCTCTGGAGCAAGACGGGTTGGTCTCCCAGTAACCACCTACATTGACCAGCTATGTTATGACACAGAATGTCACCCTAATGATTTTCCGAATTTGACGCTAGAGCGTGATGGTTGGCGTGATAGATTCAATAATGTCCCAAATAAATCAACCGAATAAAAAATAATAAAAGAATTATCTCTAAAATTAATTGTATTTTTGTGTGCAAGAATGAATTATTTTTTTTTGCTTTTTTTTTAAATCATTAACTGTATAAATAACATTACTTAAATTGTTCACTCGCCAAATTTGGCTTACGGTCAGATCACGTTGAAACACCGTTTCCAGTACGATCACTGAAGTTAAGTATCGTTAAACTTGGTCAGTACCTAGATGGGTGTCCGGTTGGAAATACCAGGTGTTGTAAGCTTGGATGTGCGGATGGTGTAATGGATAATGACTTGGGATAGTTAATTGGAGAGTCGAGTTCCAATTCTATATAGTTGGGTTCGTTATATTCATTTACGCGCAAATACTATTGGGAGAGATACAGATCCACCTATTCCCCCACCCATGGGTTAATTAGTAAGATTTGTATCACTAAACCATTATAATCTCAAGAAAAAAAATCTTACAATCTAAAATATCTTCCGGTTTTAAATAACCTGCAAAGAAAATGAGTCAATCGTAAAAGATTTTTTGGCGCCGTGTCTACGCCGAAATTCCTTGTAGGTTATCTAGATCGACAGCTATCTGAAGAAGGCCGGAGGTTATAATGGCCGATACATTGTGGTAATAAGAACGAAAATGTGAGCATTAGCAGGGACTACTTAAATAGATTGGTCCATTCATAAAACAGGGAAATTTTATTCGGGAAATAATTTTTTTAGCTTAAAATTCTTTAGACCTTTGGGTAGGTATGTTCAATAATTCGGCAAAAAAAGCCAAAAAACAAAACACACACACAGAGACACACACACACACACACACACACACACACACACACACACACACACACACACACACACACACACACACACACACACACACACACACACACACAAAAAAAAACAAAAAAACAAAAAACGGCATAGAATGATGAAAAAATGTCCGAAACTAAATAAAAACAGTTTTATCGCGAAAAAGTTTATGTTATTAATAAGTGGAAAGACCAAAGTATTTTTTAATTATTTCTTAAATTTTTTATTCCTTTCTAGCACGTTTGAAATTTTCGTTAATTTTTTTTTTTACGTCAGCGGTCGCATAATAATTAGCATTAGTTTTTTAGCGCTTTTTTCAGTTGAAAAACATTAATCAAAATAATGAAAAATCAAATAACTATCGGATTTTAATGAAACTTTCAGGATTTATACACAAATGACTGAAATTATTTTAGAAATGTTTATTTTTTAGAGAGTCATGGTAAAAATATTTTGTTTTACATCTGTTATCCTACTTACTTATTTTGTGAATACTCGAAGACTCGAATATGTGTATTTTTGTATTTTTTAAATTAAATGCAGAAGACCCTGAAGAATATAAATCATCGATTTTTTGGTAAATCGAAGAGCGTTTCTATCAAATCTTCAGCTCTGAATTGTAAAATACAAACTCCAATAAAACTAAGACCTTATTTATTTAAAAAAAGTTTCCGATGAAAAATGAATGTTTACATGAATTGTTTTCTTTTTTTTCAATTAAATACAAAATGTGATAAAATTGTTAAATATTTTAAAATTAACTCTGAATATGTGCATCGCTGGAAATGCTTTTATTAAAAGATCTATTTTTACAGATCTTAAATTTGAAAGTTTATTACAATCTGTGAAGCGTTTCTATTTTAAAAATAATTTTTTAATATTCCAAAAAATTTATTAAAAACGTTTCTGGCAAAACTACGGAGGCACAATTCAGAAATAATGTCTCACGTTTTAAGAGTTGTTTCTCCTGATAGCGATGACCCGGCCTCCTATATTCTGTTGATTTCGTGTCAAATTCTCTGACTGACCGACCATCATCGTCGCAGTTTCAAAATTTTCAATTTTTTTTTTTTTTTACATATTTCACTAAATATTTTCTTTTAATTTTTAATTTTTTTTTTTCTGAATATAATCAATTTTTTCTTTTTCAATGAGAGACATACTGCAATTATTAATTTTTTCTTTTTTAGATTCAATTATAGGGAGGGAAACAGTGCAAGTTTTGGACATATTAAAAAGTACCTAAAACACAATAAAGTATAAGACTTTTGAAAGTATTTAATTTTTAAGAATTACTTTATCGTTAAATAAGCTGGTTCACTTAAAATTCGAAAATATTGTCGTTTCTGCCCTTCCGTCCAATAAATTACACTGATAATAGTTGTCGATACATTGACGTAAACGTTAATTCACACCTCCAAAAGCAATCAACACGTTAGACATGCTTCTCTTATTTTCAACTAAATTTTTTCTGCTAAAAAGTTAAGTAATGTTTGTTTCAAATTACAATAAGTATACTTTAAATTTTCCTAAAATAACTTTTAAAAAAAGGATACTGGAATTTTAAAACGGAGAATTTCACTTTTGTCTACAAAGTTGTCAAAAATGGCTGACATGATCGATTTTATGTAAATTTTGCTGGCACAAAAAAAAAGAACAAGATTTTTAACTAAAATTTCGAACGTGCTAGAAAAGATTAAAAGTTTTTAAAAATTATTCAAAAATACTTTGATCTTTCCTCTTAATAATAGCATAAACATTTAGACGATAAAAAATGTTTAATCAAGTTTGGGGCCATTTTTCATCAGGGTATGCTCTTTTTTAGCGAAGTATTTAACATACCTACCTTTGTGCCTGTGTTAGATTTTCTGTCTGAATTTCTGGGATGAGGAGTTTACCATTATTTAGACTAGTTACATTCGGATAATTGTCCTCATTTTTGTTGTTGTTATCACAACGTTTCGGCTGTTGTGCCCTCCGGTTTTAGTACTGCTCAAGTATAACTGAGCAGTAGTAAAAATAAGAAGTAAACAAGATATCCCTAATCATGGGCAGTGGAACGAGAACAAACTACCCCAGTAGATTAAATAAAGGATTCAGTTTGGAATTCACTGAAGGTTAGCCGGATCGATATACAGGAATATATTATTTTCATTTTTTGTTTGATTGATTAGAACTTGAGATAAAGAAATAATAGGAATTTAATATTAGATATCGAAATATTAGAAATTAATATTGATATTGGAATATTAGAATTTAATATTAGTTATCGGAATACTTAATTTTAATAGGGGACACGAGAATATGAGAATTTAATCTGACATATCAAAATATTAGAATTTACTATGAGATATCGGAATATTAGAATTAAATCCGAGATATCGGAATATTAGAATTTAATATAAGACATCGGAATAGTAAAATTTAATAATAATTAATTAAATATTATAATTTTACATTAGTTATCGATATAATAGGAATTTAAACTTAGATATCGGAATATTAGAATTTACCATGAGATATCAGAATATTAGAATTTAATCTGAAATATCGGAATAATTTAATATTAAATAACTGAATATTATAATTTAATATGAGATATCGAAATATTAAAATTTAATATTAGATATCGATGTAATAGGAATTTAATATTAGATATTGAAATATAAGATTCTAATATTCTAATATTAGATATCGGAATATTAGTAATTAATATTAGATATCGAAATAGTAGATTCCAATATCAGATATTGATATAATATGAATTTAATATTAGATATCGAAATATTAGAATTTAATATTTCACAAGCAAGAAGTTCGAGTGAAGAAACTGCCAACGTAGAATTTACGGTTGCAGCTAACAATTCCAAGCTGTTGATTGTGCTTAAATTCGTGAAATCGGTGTACAAACAAGGAAAGCTCATCAGAACTATCACGATGAAAATATTCACGGAAGAGGAAAAGAGAAGGTACGTTACGGCGGTGGGAAAGTGAAGCCGAGATGCCAGGTCAGGATCGATAACGTTGCCGATTCTTCTCTGAATTTTGTCAAAATCTCTAGATGCATAACAGAAGCGCCAGACCAGATATGGTAGCAATATTCAATGCAGCGACGGATGGTAGACTTATAAATGGATAAGATAGATCTTGGTGAAAAAAACTGTTTACCACGACATAGTCAGCCGACATTTTTGGGACTAAACTCAGTATTTTAAATTAGTATAAGTGTAACGGTCACTTAAGTGATAGTATTCCTATTGTCTGACAACTTATTTTCTGTATTTCGTAATTTCAGATACAAGGGGCTACTAGAAATGAAAGACAAGGAAAAAGCTTTGGAAGCAATCGGAAACTCAATCCTAAACAGGAAACAAGGGACCAAACTGTACTCCTGTGCAAAACCGGACTATCTACTATCAAAATTCACTATTGTGTACTAACTTGTCGAGTATTGATACGTTTATTATTCACTGCTGACTTTCGACAGAGGACGGAAAATGCCACACCGAAATCCGAAGACGCATTGGATTAGGGGAAAATGCCTTCCAAAAGCTAAGTCAAGTATTAAGAAATAGGAAAACAAAGAAAATGTATTATACTGTTATGTAATATCGGTCCTCTTACATAACAATGAATGATGGGCAGTCTCCTCCAAGATGAAGAAAAGACTTGCGGCAACAGAAAGGTGGTTCTACAGAAGGATGCTGAGAATATTTTAGACTGAACATGGGAGCAACGACGAAGTTTTAGGGAAAATGAAACCAAAAAATGACACTTATAATTAGAATCAGGAAACTTCGGTTGAAATTTCTAGGGCCCATAATGAGAAAAGAGTGTTTGGAAAATTTGACACTCACAGGACATACTGGGGGATAGCAGAAAGCAGCATGCAACACACCTAACGATCGGGGATTAGAAGAGACAGCAAAAAGACAAATATTGACAAGGGCTGCAAAGGACAGGATATTATGGAAAACCATGATCACCCACGTCTTGAAAGGAAACGGCACATAGAAGAAGAAGTACCATAATAAACTGGATTTTTTAATGTAATATCTGTCCTCTAATATGGTAGTGAATGCTGGACAGTCCCCTCACAGATGAAAAAGTGACTTGAGGTGACAGAAGTGAGGTTCTACAGAAGGATGCTGAGAATACCATGGACTGAACATGTGAGTAACGATGAAATTCTAGAGACAATAGAAACAAAAAAGGACACTTGTATTTAACACCCGAAAGAGACAGTTGACATTTAGGCATTAAGGGAGACAGCAAAATATATTAAAAAAAAAAAACAACAACATTACTATGCGTTACAAAGGACAGGACGTTGTGGAGAGCCATTATCGCCCACATTCTGAAGACTGAAGGCGCACAGAAAAGAAAATCTTCAGCTTATAATCTGGAAGAGAGATTAGAAAGAAAGGAAAGCAGTAAACATCAACAAA